CAATTTACCTTGCAAATTGTATGTAGAGCACCCAGCTTCCACAAAATTACATAAATCCAAATCTTTATTAAAGAGTACTTTTTAACCTCAATATTTTCACACTCTGTTTAAAGAAAGTCAGGTGGTTTTAGGGTAACGTTGGAGTTATTTTTGCTTATGGCCTGCTTCTTCTCCTCTGCATAGTGTCTGGCTACTGCTCTGGAGCTGGAGGGTAAGGCAGTGACCCACTTGTCTCTCGGTGACATTAGGCTGGTGTAATCCTTGGTCTTCTTGAATTTATGTTTCTTGACTAAAACTCCAACTTGCAAGTTGGGGGAAATTTGAACACAATATCAGTATTTTTGGCTTGTCTAGATTAGGGTAGATTTTCTACCCTATGAGTGGGCTGCTATAGACATCAATTGTTGGTTTAATATATTGGGTATTATACTTTTTGTGATCTATATTTGAGTCATATAGTAACATTGTCCAACATGGTCAAGAGTTTAGTCTCTGCTAGCAGCCAGTAGTAAGCAAGAAACCACTCTTTTTTTTTTTCTGGCTAAACATGGCATGGATATACTCCAAACCCAAGGAGAGGTTATAAGGGGCTTTTTGAATACCACTGGGATTACAGACTAAATACAAACCAAGTAGCAGGATGCTTTTTACTGCAACCTGGATCTTTCATGAATCAAATTACACTTTATCCCATTACCAATAATGTATATTTTTAAAATTTTATAATATTAAATTTGCTTACCTAAGGTCTAAAGGTGACTTTTCCTCATACCTTAGATGAATTCTATGCATCTCCCTTAATACTACTCCTCACAGAATCACTATATATGTATATTTTTCCTAGACTTGGACTATTAAACATATCTTTGTTTGGTTTTTACAAGTTAAAAGAATATATTTTAATAATGGGTTTTATAGCAAAAAATCTTAAGAAGATTGAAAATGGAAACTCTTTGAACAAAGAAAAATTGAGCCAAGAAATTTTGGGGAAAATGCAGAAGTACAGTTCCTAAATAACATACCTCAGCACTTCAAGTATAAGAAGTACATTTGTTTATTTTTATATAATTTTTTTTTCAAACGGTATCATTCTTTTTTTGGATGGTGGCACTCAGCCCAAATATCCATAGCTAATAATATTAGCAAAAATAGAAACTGAACTAATAATGGAAGAAGAGATTGATTATAATTGAATAACAATGAAAAGTTTTATGCACAATACATAAGAGTAAGAGAAATCAAAGGCAAGTTATATCATGTTGCATGTTGGGGAAAACATAAATGCATCAAATAATAGAAGTTTAAAAGGATTTTTCATTAATTTCAACAATTAATGGTAAATTTTTGACTTGATGATTTCATTTCAAACCAGAAATACAAATTTTTATCTCAAAATATACTGATATTTTTTATAGGATAAATATTTTTATTTCATATAAGCATGCTTCTTGTAGCAAGGATAATATATATAAGGATAATCTGCCTCTATCAATAACTAAAAGATAATATATATTAATTTAGAGTTTAAAAATATATGAAAGGGATTAGACTTTCACAAAACAGACATCATGTTTACATAAGCAATTACATTTAATTTGAAGTGGAAAATGTTTAAAAAGACATCATTTATCCAGATGTTCATTCTATGTCTATTAGCTTTAATATGTTAGAGAATTGGAGAATATTAAATAGAAAACACCTGCCTGAATGATGCTACGTTTAATTATCAGAGTTTAATAACTTTCAAAGCATACATTTTTGCCATCGTGATTTGAGATTCTCAAAAAGTTAAACATATGTTCTATAGAGACTAAATCATAGTTTGAGTTCAATGAAAATAGCACTTCAATCATCTCACATATGTTTACTGACTGTCTAATATGTGTCTACTACATACTAAGCCCTTTTCTAGATGTGGTATTAAAAAAAAATAAAAAAAGACAAAATCTCCTGCTCTCTTTGAGTTGCATAATGTGCATATGTTAGATGGGGTTCTACAGATAATAAACAAATATTCAATAAATTCTATAGCATTTTAGATGCATAAATTTGTGAAAATGAATATCAACAAAAGTGGATAAACATATTAAGAATGTTATCATTCCTGAACTCTAGTATAAAATAACAAAGGTTAAAACTTTTCTAACTCACCACCTGTAGCTATAAATTACTGTAAAATAGTTGTGCAGTGCCCACTAAATGCCACAGAGACAGACATTTTGCTGATGAATATTACTGGAAAGCCAAGAGCTTTTCCACTTACTAATAGGATAATGTGATTATTTGCAAGCGAACAAGAACATGCTGCTATGCTCAAGTTAAGACTTAGTCTTCGAGGAAAATAAGAAAAGTTACCATGACAAGACCGCACACAAGAATTTCTACAGCATGACTTTCAGAACATGTTTCTGTGCATGAATTTTTCCCAGGCGAGGTAAATGTTTGGAAGAAAAGTAAAAATAGATTTTCAATTGGTGCTGCTTTTGTTCTCATTCCCCATTTTTATAAAAACAGCTAAGAGGTGAATACATGACAGGGGACATTATAAGTAGCCCCTTTGGAGTTCTTACTGTTGTGATGTTGGGTTGCACAGTGTCATCTTACATCGGAGTTGTATTGACTTCCATGATGAAGATATGTTCTTAATATTTTTCTCACATTAAAAATTTACATATGGTAATTTGTCAGATATGATTGAACATACTGTTTCATCCTGATTTTGAGAGAGAGGAAAGGAGAGGGAGAGAAACATCACTGGCTGCCTCCTGCACACCCCGCACTGGGGAATGAACCCAGGCCTGTGCCCTGACCAGGAACAGAACCTGTGACCTCTTGGTACATGGGACCATGCTCCACCAACTGAGCCATACTGACTAGGGATACTTAAATCTTCTTTCTATCACCTAAATCTCTTTCTTCTTCCTGATTTTATTTCGATTAATATAATGTTATGTTTGAGACCTTTCATGTCTGTCTCCTTTTATGATCTATATTTATTCATTTTTTATTTCAAATATGGTTCTTTAACATGTCCTGGTGTACAATATATACTTTCAATGTGATTGCCTTATATTAAAGTTCATAGACTTACATTGTTGCTAGAGCCTCTCAGTTGGTACCTTGCCCTCTAATTCCCCCCTTTTCTGTCAAATTTTCATTCCATTAAAAGATAACACAATTTAAGTGTTGTTTTCGCTGTCATTTCCCTTTTTAAAAGTGATTGTTGAGTTTCTATTGTCTGGATTATGTCCAAACTCTTTTCATTGGTTTCAACACTGGCTACTTTTGCTCAATGGTTAGAGCATCCGCAGTGGACCAAAGAGGCAGGTTTTATTCCTGGTAAAGGGCACATACATTGGTTGAGGGTTTGACCCTCTCCCAGTCAGGGACGTGCAGGAGGCAATCAGTTGATGTTTCTCTCACATTGATGTTTCTCTCTCTCTCTCTCTCTCTCTCTCTTTTCCTCCATCCCTCCCACTCTGTCTAAAAGAATCAATGAAAAAATATCAGGTAAGAATTACAAAAATAAACAAATAAATAAATTCTTCACCTCCCTCCATCCAAAATCGGGTCAGAACCTGCTTTTATTGCCTTATTTATATCACCTTCTTTACATAAATATTTACTCCTTCCTGTCACTTTTTCTCAAGGACTGTTCCACATCTTACTCCCACCCTTGGTTTCACACCTGTTCTCACTTCCTGACCTCCACGACTATCACCAGATAATTTCACAGGGAAAAAAAGTCACTTTTTGCTACCACTTTAACCTTTTATAAAGGGTATTTGTTAAAAATGTACTCTCTGATGTTAGACCTTCTTAATATAGAACAGTTATTTTTATTTATTTATTTTTTTATCCTCACCCGAGGACATTTTTCCATTTTTTGTACAGATAGAGTGGGAGGGAGAGAGAGGAAGAGAGAGAGAGAGAGAAACATCGATGTGAAAGGGACACATCGAGTGGCTGCCACCCGCACGACCAACCAGGGCTGGGGACAAACTGCAACCGAAGTACGTGCCCTTAGCGGGAACCGAACCCGGGTCTCTCCGGACCACAGGCCGATGCTCTAACCGCTGAGCCAAACCGGCCAGGGCTTAATATAGAACAGTTATAATAATTATTTTATTATAGTTTTTCTCAGGTTTTTACACATTGTTTATGAGATCATTATTTCCAATACACCTTTATCAGGATGTGCATAAAATAGCGTTGATGCCCTGTTAGCTTTGACTCTGTTTCTGCCCCACCCTCAAAAAAAGATCTACCTCAGAAAGTATTATAACACCGCATCTGTTTCTTTCAAAGAATACCAAATGCCAGTATTTTATTACGAGATTTTTTTTAAAAGAGTGGCTCAGTATTTTTTGGTTAATTGTATAAGGACATGGGAAGAAAAGGATTTTCCTTTGAGTTTACTTTTGATATTTCATTCTGATACTCAATCTTTTATTTTTTTTTATTTTTTTTTATTTTTTTTTATCCTCACCCGAGGACATTTTTCCATTTTTTGTTCGGGTAGAGTGGGACGGAGAGAGAGGAACAGAGAGAGAGAGAGAAACATCGATGTGAAAGGAACACATCGAGTGGCTGCCACCCGCACGACCGACCAGGGCCAGGGACAAACTGCAACCGAGGCACATGCCCTTAGCGGGAACCGAACCCGGGTCTCTCAGGACCGCAGGCCAATGCTCTAACCGCTGAGCCAAACCGGCCAGGGCTGATACTCATTCTTTTAATACACTCGAAGGGATTCTAAAGAAACAGACACTTGAAAAAGGATACATTCCTTGGTTTAAACATTAACTGTGAAGGGATAGAACAACTTAGAATTGTTTATAAAAAGGCAAACTTAATCGTCTTTTCTTAACTGATCTCTCTTCACATTCCTTCTATCCCGACCCATCACTTTCAAAATAATCCAGAGCACCAAAATATGTTTGAGGCAAAGGAAGACAACATGAAACATTGATGTGCACATTAAAACATTGACTGAACTCTCAAAGGTTAAAATGTAAGAGGTTTATTCTCCTTTTATCAAGCAGTGTCTATAGACAGAGCATCCACATGGTGTAAGCTACCAAAGAAGGATGTATGAGACAGACTTACATTAAATCATTAGGTCACAGACACCTGATATGGTTCATGTTCACAAGGGAGGAAATTGCTGAAAAGGAAAGCAGATAAGTAGAAACATAAGCTGGTTTTGTTATTAAATCTACCTCTCATAATGGTTTCTTAAGCTAAGAAGAAATCTACTGTATCACACAGTTCAGGATGCTATATACACATAAGATATTACACACTATAAAATTTCAGGTTTCTAAGCAGTTTTACACAATTTAAACTTGAGTAAAATTTGTGTTTATAAAAGACCTTATTGGATTACCTTCAGTGAATGGAGGTCATTTCCACAGCCCATTAGCATTTTAGCAGCAACAAAGCAAAAATAAGTAAAAAGATTCTCAAAACATGTAAGCTATTACCTTAAGCCTAGATAATTATCCGCTTATTTCTATAAACCAACTCTCTAGTTTTAATCCTCGTCTACTGGCCTTATACTTATCCTTAAAAATACAATACCTTTTTACTTCTCTGCAGTGCCTCACAGAAGAGGGTGCACTAGGTTTTGAACTATAGCACACAGTTAGTGAGTGGGTCATTTGAAGATGACGTAGGAGTCAAATAGAAGTCACTTACGAAAGTTATTAGAGAATGAAGATTTTGATGGGTTATATTTAAACAGCGAAGGCGAGGGTGAAGTGCATTTTTACTCACCACTGTGGAGCTATCCCCTAACTTTCCGAGTTCTAAACTAATTCTCCTAAAACACTAATACTCATTAGTTCTCTAGCCAGTTTTTTCTCCCCGGTGTTAATTTCCCTACATGTGGTATTACTCTAAGCAGACAAAAATAATGCTTCTTTTCTTAGAAATGAGAGTTCCTGCTGATGCAACACTGGACTACATGAAATTAAAAAGAATCTAGTCTGCTATTAATGAGCATTTCTAAGCAGTTGACATCCCAAACTTGCATTATAAACATAATGCAGTCTAGTGATTAAAAGCAAAATGAGTAGAGAATACATTGCAAACATTTTGACCATAATTATTTTTCCTCCCTTCCTCCCCATTTTCCATAGCGTGCTGCAGAGTATACAGTAAGTGTCAAATAGAGTTCTGTCACCTGTATACAACCTAAGGCCATCTTATGCCTTCAAATGATATTCCATTAAACAAATAACTGAAGGCAGGATTTAGTGCGAGAGATGTTAAACATTTCTCTTTTAACGACAAGAGATTTTTAATAGTTATAAGTGTTTAGTATGCAGCGTTTAGCTTTCCTTTTCCTCTTGTGACATTCCCTCAAGGCACAAAAGATTATAAACAGTGAATGGGACAGAATATTTTGAATTTTAAGTTTCCACAATACCTTTTATTTCTGGTTTAAGTATACCAAAAAAGGACTGAGAAAATAGATAAACCAACCCTTAAAATAAAATGGTGCTGAAAGTCATCCGAAATTCCCTGCAGTTATTTTTAAGTATTTAAATTCTTATTCTGTTGGTTTAAAACATAATTATGCATTTGATTCTTTGATTAATATAGTTTCTTATCAAATGTTGTGTTAAAAATTTGGAATCAATCAATATTACTAATCGTGTATTTCTTTGCCAAATTTTTTTTAAAAATTTTATTTGGGCCAACCCCGTTAACTCATGTATGACTAGGATATAAACTTGAAAAATTAAGCTGTCAGTTTAAACAATACATTAAGTGCAATGTACCGGAAAACTCTTCATTCAGTAATTATCTAATAGGGCTCCTAGGCGTCTCCAACCCAAATAACTGTATTTCCCTTTTCAACTTCAGTGATCTCACAGTTTAACTTGTTGAGTCGTCCATCGAGTATAAAGAGAGAGTCCTTGGAAGGTGTCATCAGGTACTGCCCGAACAAGCCACTGTCCTGGATCTGCCTGTTCTTCCGGCTCCACGGCCACTCCTCTGGCTTGAGGGGCTCCTTCAGGCTCTTGATCATCTTCACCTTCCCGGAGGAGAGCTCCGCGAAGAGCACGTCGGTCTGCGCGCCCGAGCTCCCGTAGATGTTGTACTGATGGGCCTCGGTGAAGGACGGCTGGAAGGCCAGGTCCGCTATGTGCAGATTCGTGTGGATGTCAAAGGCCTCCTGTATTTCCCCCCTGATGGTGATGGACTGAACCCTGACCAGACCTCTCACGTCGTTGACGCTCACGAGGTAGTGCCCGTCCGGGGACATGTATGGGGTGCCCGTCACGTCGCTGTTGAATCCAAGGACGGAGTCGGTGACGCTGTCCACCAGGAGCTGCGGCGGGACCGCTCCGGTGCTGTCGGGCTTGCAGCCCACGAAGTAGTATCCTCCCAGGTGCGTGTACGCCAGCGACTGGGGGACGCACTGGTAGTCCTTCAGGTTAATTGTCTTGATGTATGACAAGGTCTCAAGATCAATTTTCTGTAGTGCAGCTTCATCTTTATGGAGGATAAATCCAAACCTGAAAAGATAAACACTGAAATTAGACAGGTACACTAGAGTGGTTACCATGGAAATCAGCACCGCGGACAGGTGGGAAGGGCTGTGACAAGTCTGCTGTGCCCCTGCGGGCTGTGCGGGGCTTTATGCAAAAGGTGTTAGATTTCAACTTCAAACTGTGCTGCCGTCCTCCTTCCTGTGGTCCTTGTCTCGCTGCGTCCAAACGTAATTCATGCTGCAGAAAGCAAAATAATTAAAAGTAGTATATCTAGTTAATTGGAACAACTTTTGTCTTTACCGAAGAGGGTGAAAAAGTAAACTTTATTTTGTGTGTCTCTAAACGTTTGATAACGAACAAGCTTGGTTTACCACTACGAAAGCCAGCAACAATATAAATCTTAAATATATATCTATTTTACTCACTTCACTTACTTCTGATATTGTCTCATGGTCACCTTATAAATCTGATACATAACTCTTTAAAAAATTATCCATATCGTTCTCATTTTAATTTGCCACAAAGGGCTACCTTAATAGATGCGGATTTATTATTTTTTTTATACAGAACTGTTAGACTCCTATATATTACATTTTAGAATCACATTGATTTCGCCTATGATCTTAACATTTATTTATTTATTTATTTATTTATTTATTTATTGTTAATCCTCACCCAAGGATATTTTTCCATTGGATAATTTTCCAAAGGATTTTTTTTTTTGGTACGTCCCCCTAGCAGAACCGAACCCAGGACTCTCTGGTCCGCAGGCAGACGCTCAACCACTGAGCCAAACTGGCCAGGGCTCCATTGATTTTTTTAGAAACAGTGGAAGGGAGGGGAGAGAGGAAGACAGAGAGAGAAAGAGAAACATCAATGTGAGAGAGACACACCAATTGGTTGCCTCCCGCACCATCCCAGCTAGGGCTGGTGATTGAACCCGCCACCCAGGCACAGGCTCCTGATCAGAATCAAACCTGTGACCCTTCAATCCACAGGTTGATGCTGTAACCACTGAGCAAAACCAACCAGGGTTAAAATTTATTTTATTATACATTTTGTGTACCAGTTACAGTTTTCACCCCAGCCACGCTTATATTGTTATTGTTTTTAATCATATACCTGTACTGTATTGGTTATCTTATATTGAACAGTAATGAACTTTGGAGATGTTTGGCATTTTCTATTAAATTCAATTTAAAAAGAAATAATTTAAAATTTGTTTTGATGACATCTTTAATTAGTGTAATGCTTTTAAAAACATTTCTCCTGAATACTAGCTGCAAATTATCAAAAGTGTCTGTTACAAGAGGAAACATATTTTGAAAGACTGACTTATAACATTAGTGGCTTTCTATTAAAAATAAGTAGGTTAGCCTGGCCCATGTGGCCCAGTGGTTGAACACTGACCCATGCACCAAGAGGTCGTCCGTCAGTTTGATTCCCAGTCAGGGCATATGCCCAGGTTGTGGGCCCGATCCCCAGTCGGGGGGCATGCAGGAGGCGGCCAATCGATGTTCTCTCTCATCAGTGTTTCTCTCCCTTCCTCTCTTTCTAAAATCAATTAAAAATATATATTAAAAAAAAAAAAGAAGAAGAAGTCCATGTCCTCAACCACTAGAATGTAAATTGTGGAAGGGCAGGAACTTTAAAAATAATAATAATAATAAGTAGGTTAAATAAGATAAAATAAGATAGAAACTACTATACAAAATTATATCCAAATTACATAATAATCAATGGAAATATGAAGGACTTTCCTTTTTATTTTTGTTAGTAATATTGAGTAAAACACATTTTAATATTTTCAAAATCTCGATAAAAATAAAGATCAGAAAAATATTGTTACAATTTTTATCACTGAAAAAATTACTTTATTGTATTAAGGCAAAGCAAAATAAAACAAACCAAACCTTTAAAGATAGTCAACTATATTGTCATCTGAGTAATTCATTTTCAGTATGGTAATTCTTACACAAAGTTTTATTTATGTAAACAAAATAACCATTTCCCCTTATAATACAGAAATATGGTGTATTTGGGGTAATAGCTCCTTAAAATTTTAAATATGAGCACATGTAAAGCCCAAGATATAAATTATTTTATATCTTTAATATCATAGAAAAAGAAGATACATTTTCTCCAAAATCAGTCTCATAATTGCATAAACAGGGAATGCATCAGCACAAATATTTTAATAAAATAGACATAAAATTGTAACCATGTCTATCCTTTTACATTGCATAAAGTTGGGAAACCATATTATAATTTTAGCTCTATGGACAATTATAAAGATACTATTTGATGTCATTGGAGAGTACAAATTCTCCTATAAAAAATAAAAACTACAATGTATAGAAAATATGAAGAATAAGAATAGAAAAACTGTTAGTGGCTGATGCTTAATTAGAGCATTATGCTATACTATTACTTAATTGAGTAACTGTTACTGTTTTCATATTTACTTGCAGTGGAATAAAATAATCACTTAGTAAATAATATTTCTAATGTATTTTAAAATGCCATTGACTATTTCTGGCTTATATCCTGAAACTTTCCTCCTTTCCTGTGTCCTTAATAACTGTGTGTATCTTTTCAGTAGGACAACTTATACCATAACTATTCAGGATAAAATTTTGTCCTGATTACAATGGTATGAAGAAACATATTAACAATCACTTCTAAATGTTCCCATAAATTATTAATGCACACTGAAGGTTTCACATACCACCTAAATATTACAGAATAAAAAAAAAAAAAGCCCTCAAACTGAAAACTGAGTCCCATTATTTTTGTGTCAGCATCAAAAATGTCTTAAAATCCTAAATGTCACTATTCACTTTCATACTTGTCTTAATAAATAATTAAGTGACTATTGAAATGGATGCTTTTCTATTAATGGACAGTCATTAAGAATATGTAACTAAGTAGATATATGATTGCATCTATCATTTATGAAATTATGAATTATGATTGAAGATATTGTCTTTTTTTTTTCTGCTATACACTGTAAATGTGCTCAGAGACGAAATCAGTAATATGCATATTTAATAAAAGCAATAAGCCAATCGAGTTTTGGCATTTCAATTCTCCTCTTAACCTTGAGTCTTCTAGTCCCTTTGGGCAATGATGTTTGAATGCTAATGAGGAAGAAAGAAGGAGACAAGCTCTAACTACTCTTGAACTATTTTAACTCTGATACTAGAGAATGCACTCAAGTGGTGATACAATCCAGTTCTTTTGGAGGTAATTAAAATTTTACAAATGGTCCGGTTAAAAATGCAAAAGCTCCACGTGGGGTGATAACATTACATGCATTTTGGTACCCGCACTGCATGCTCCTCTAGGACTAGAGATCTAACTACACAAGCAGAGGCATGGGGAAGCCTTCAGTTTTTTACCACTGATTTATTGGGCAGGAAGTGGTGTCTCTAATTCAACATTTCCCTCTAGTGCAGATTGATATTCAGAAATCTCCCACTGTTCATTAGTCTGTGATTAATATTTACAAGGCTCTCAACTTCCATGCCTGCTTAGTATAATAAAATTCTGCATCGCACTAAGTTTAACATAGTTTGTCTAATATTTATCAGAATGTGTATAAAAAGTTGCAGACAGTGAGAAATGTGAGTTAAAAGTTACTCTTGAAATCCCTTATTTTACTAGGGGAAAAACGAGATTAAGCAAGTGTAACTGTGATTCATGTGGCATTGCGTGCACTTTTTCTAGATTTTTTTGAGGAGAGTTAAAGCATTTTTTCCCCACAAATTATTTTCTTTTTCAGAATGCTTAGTCAACATGGTTTATTATTATAAAATTTATAAAAAGGCTCAAATTTAATTACTCTTATTATGCTTTAAGCTAAGGTCCTGAAATGCTTCATACACAGAGAACCTGTTTTCAGTGAAGTAAGGGCTTTCAATCCAGGCTGATATATTTCATGATCCACTTTTTAATTATAATAGAAATGTGACCTTACGTGATGCCCTTGACTTCCATGAGTTTCCATTTTCTCATCAGCAGGAAGAAGGTAAAAGTACTAACTTGCTTTGAGGTGAGAGTAAACGTGTGTTTATTATCCGCCAAACAGATTCTCAATAAATAAAACTTGTCACCGCTTTCCACCTTAAGTAGTATCCTTTTCCCATTATGAATCAAATAAAATGTTCCCCGTAGCACAACAGATTATTACAATGCATGGGTGGGAAAAAATATGTCATTTTTTTCTTTTTAGCTAGTATTCCCACAATGTTTAAAATCAACATGCAGTGTTACTCAAATGTGGCTACATTTTTCCATTCCTGAATGCAACAGTGATCGCACCGACAACAGAATTCACTATTATTTTACTCTGTTCTCACTGGTGCCAACAGGATCTATGCCCAGTGCACATTTTAGCCAATCATCGAATCTCTCAGTGTTAGGATAGAAGGCATCTGGCTCTCTCTGGCTTCTTTAGAGGTGCTGCTTTAGTTCGTGCAGAGGGAATGGAGTAGTAAGTAGGCTGTTCTGTACTGGGTGAATCTGAGCTCTGCACAGATGATGGGATTTTAAATAGGTCCCTGTCTTACTCAAGAATTTTTACTAAAAGTAACAGAATTTGTTGTGGCTGGCTTTAGGTCCTGTATCTATAGACATGGACAGTTGCAGTCAGAGTTGATGTCATGGTAATTTGAAGAGAAGCATGGTTGAAACATCATGAAGCCTAATAAAGGATAACTGCTTAAAGACCTCTACATCCTGTAAGTCCAGGCTACATGCCTTGCATTTGAGTAATCATCGATTTCCCCAAGTCTCTCACTCAGACAGTCAAGCGGGTCTGGTCCCACAGAGTCTCACAAAGCAGTTTTCCAGTCACTGTCACTCCACAGCATCTGCCACACAGCTGCACCCCTGTTCTGCTTTCTCATCTATCACCTGAGAAGCAAGGGAAGGAGTCTCATAATTGCAATCAAGGTCTTTATGATATCTATGATACCCCAAAGGTTGGAGTGAAAGAACCTTGTAAGATTTTCGGAGTAACA